GGAAAATCTTTGGGGAAAACATCAGGATATTCATTAACAGAGGCAACATCATCTACCATTTTCTCTTCCTCTTCTGAGATATCAGCGGTGTAAGCTAGATAGATAGAACACCCCTTCGATATAAATTTATGAGCTTTTAGGAAAGAGATTATTTTTAAGTTTCTTTGTTCACCGTAGACATAGATAGGATCTTCCCCTTCAATAGGAATTTTTACTATCTTTTCGTAGCATAAGAGTTCAGCATGGTTCTTTGACAGCCAATTCATGCCAAGATCAATATCAATGTTTGGCAAGGAGATAGGAATCAGGTTAGCAACAAAATTACAGTCTTCAATTTCTACGACACAATTCCTATAGATTTTATCAGCAAGTAATGATATACTTCTTGCAGTATCTACGTGAAATGCTTGCGCAAGTGCATTAGAAGCAATATGAAATGAATGCGCAAATTCATGAGACACAAAAGAATCTGAGGCACCAGAATCAAATAAGATGTGAGTAGATCTACAGTTGACAAGAAATGTACCCATCACAACATTTGGGTCCTCACGTGCCTCCTCTGTGGTTATATCGAATGCACAACCCTTAGATTTTGGCACCTCCTCCTTTTTAGTTGGAGTACTCTTTGATTGTTGAATAGGAGCTTGACTTCTCGCTGGTTGTTGAACACAAGCTTGACTCCCCGTCACCTGACTAGTAAAAGTAGAACATAAGCGCTTTTTTGTGGCCAATAATACCACAAGCAAAACATGTAACATCCTTCATTGGACAAATCAGCTTCTTGTGGCCTATTTCTTTACATCCAAAATAGACCACATGTCCTTTTTCTATTCTGCATTCACCCAGATGATTCTTTCCATAATTTCGACATGATGGTGATTGAAGAGAAAAATATTGTGACCTACCGCGACCATGAGAAGCATTGTGAGATTGCACTTGTTTACCGGAATACGCTCAAACGATTTGAGCTGGTGGAATAGAGGAAACAGGAACAGTTCAATCGATACATGGATGCTTCGAGACAAAAAGAGTGGCACCATGTATCTCCAAGTCATGCTTGCGTTTTCGGGCATACTCAACAACTTTATCAAATGATAGAACATCCTGATTACTCACGAAATCGTGGATTTCATATCTTAATCCTTCCATGAATAATAAAATTTTATTATCTTTAGTTGGAATGTACTTTGTAGTAAACCGTGCTTTCTGATTCAATTGCGTTTCATATTCATTCATGGTCATTCCTCCTTCTTTCAGTTCAAGGAACTCCTTCTCCAATATTCTTCTCATATCTATAGGACAATACTTTTCTAGTAATCGAGTTTTGAACATTCCCCAAGACGAATTCTCCTGATCATATTCTTTAATAGCTTCAAATGCTGCTTCTGACCAGACTAATGCTTCTCCGGTAAACATTGCGGAGGCATAATTAACTTTGTCTTCATTTATCACATGAGAGATATGGAATATTGTTTCCGTATTCTGTATCCATGTAAGAACAATAATAGGATTAATGGCACCTTAAAACTCTATAGCACCACTACTTTTGAAATCTTTAAATAAGGGATGCTTCACCTCTCCTTTTGATGATTCTCCAGTGGCTTTCTCTTTGCCTTTATCATTATCCTTATTGTGTTCTTCAAGAGTCTGTCGAATGATACTAGTAAGTTTACAAAAGAGTCTCTCTTCTCGAGGGGATACTGGAGTATTTGCTTCACCAGATTTAGGATCTCCACCCACTTCCGGTGTATGGCTACCTTCCCGTTCAGCCATTCTTCTGAAAATTTGGAGCAACATATTATTTTATAATATTAGGATTTATTATTGTCTAATACTTTACTTAAATCTTTCCTATGGTTTCTATCGATATATTCCTAATGAATCCGTTCATATATTGAACTCCCAAAGGTTTAAGCCTAAATACCAATCCATGATATTTAGTTCACTTATACTATTGCTCTGATACCATGATTGAAAGAACCTGAACTTTCTAAACTTTCGTATTTCTGAAAGACCCATACTTTCATACTTCACAATATTATTACTCCCAAAACATGCTACATGCCTATTCAAAAACAATATTTTACATTGATAATTTATTTCTATAGAGTGGATACAAACCGACTATTTAGATTTTTACAAAGTTTTACACATAGTACACACTTTCCCAGGAATACAATACAAAAGTTATAATATTATCTATTCTACATCTTCTACCAGTACAAAACTATACTGGATTCTTATCTCCTGCAATAGTTTATACATTGGGAGGGATAAACGGGTGACGCTTAGTGAGTTCAATAACATCTACTATATAACATTATGCCATATACATATCAATAAGACTGAAGCATGGAGGGACAAGGAACAACATAGGCAAATGAGTATCATATGACATGCTTTCCATATCAACGAATAATCAGATTCTGGGATTTGAATTCAATGAGACATAACAATTTCAACACTTAATATACATCAATAAGACTTCAGCCCAAGTAACGTAGAAAATATGATTTCAGAATATCATTTTGCTAGAATACACAGGCTTTTAGCCATGTCTTTGTACTCTACTATGCCAAAGTGATGCTTATGTCATACACTTCATGGCCAAAGGCTACATACCAGTACCCAAGTGATTCTTATTCCATATACTTCGTGGACTAAGGTATATCTCATCATCATCCTAACATGGGAAAGCACATTAAACATATAACACATAACATATAATTGTCCCTATATTGAACTCACCGTGAAATAACCAGGTATTAAATGATAATTTGGGCAGCACTTTGGCTTTAAATATAACTATCTACGATGAAACCGGGGGTTTTAGTTGAAAACCGACCTTACACGGGCAGAGTTTCGACTTCAAAATATAATTTTCTCGGGAACTTCAGAGCGTCGGGACTTGCTACGGGTGTTAGGAATGATATCAGAACTTCAGGGGTGTAAAAGTGCTTGAGAGAGGCTAGAGAATGTAAGAGAGTGATAATTTGTAACCTAAAACAGGGCAGCCTCACATCCCTTTTATAGCTGGCCGAAACCTCGGAGTACGCTGGGCGTACTTCGGTATGCTGGGAGTACGCGGCATGGCAGTTCCCCGGTTCCTGGGTCTTGGACGTGGTTGTGTTATCCGATACGTATGCCTCATGCAAAGAGAGAAGGACATGGCTGACTACAAATCTTATACATGCGAAGTACGCTGTGCGTACGAAACGAAGTACGTTGGGCGTACCCTCCGAATAAGGCTTCGAATTTTCATTTATTTTTATTTAAAAACTTCAAAAATTCATATCTTTTGCGTAAAAGCTCCATTTTTTATGTTCTTTATATCCATGTGTAGGTGACATTATACTCTACAACTTTCGTTTAGACTCTGTCGGCTAATTTTGACTTCATTTTTAATATTATATTTTTAACGGGTCAGGACAGGAAAAGTCCATTAAAAATTCATAATTTCTTCATCTAATGTCCGTTTTCGTCTTTGTCTGTCTTTTTGCCGTTATACTACTATTGATGAGACCTTCGATTCTTGTTTAGTTTGTGTCGGCTTAAAATAACTTGATCTTTATTTCGATTTTTTAGTTGTATACTACTATACTGAAACGTTACAAAAATCATAACTTCCTCTTACAAAGTCATATTTTCTCATTCTTTTGATGAAAGTTCTCGGTTTAATGAATACTACAACTTTCATTTAGATCATATAGGCTAAAAAGTAGTTTATCAAAAACTCACTTTTTACGTCATATGGTGTCGTACCAGTTTTGTCGCGAAACTTCAAATAGCCAAAATTTCTTCGTTATAACTCAGACTTCGATGATATTTTCGCCTAAATGTTTCTAACAAGATTCTCTACAACTTTCAATAATAAAATTTTACTTATTTAAAATTTTACATTTTCGTTAACTTTCAATATTAGATTGGAATCTCATAAGCCTTTTAATATTTTCCGAATGATTCTAAAGATAGAACTCAATACTAAAAATCATATAATATTTCATAATATTTTCATTACAAAACACGACTTCAAAATGTGTATGTTACACAAAAATGCATAAATGTAATACATTTGATGCTTTAAAATTTTGAAATGAAAAAGACAAAAATAACATATATATCATAATCCATAATGTAATACATTTATATTAACATTTCACCGAATTATTACACAACAAATTTTCTCCATACACAACAATTGATGTATTAAAATGTTGTATTGTACAAATCGATAATGCATAAATTGTTGTGTATGACAAAAAGTTGTTGTGTACGAATCACTTCCCTAATATATATATATATATATATATATATATATATATATATATATATATATATATATATATATTAAAAGTGGAACAAGATTTTAACAATAAACTTTTTTACTCTATATTTTAGACACAATAGTTTGTTTTCTTGCCACTTTTAGTCCATATGTTTATAATATCATTTTTTTTACTTTGATTTTAGCCACAATACGCTTTCTTTGTTGCCACTTTTAGTCCCTATGTTTATGCCTTCACAAGTTTACCCCATGTAAAGCATGAGTTCTCCACTAGTTGATATTAAACCAAATTATCAAATCCAAAATAAAATACATGTATGTTTATGTCTTTACAATTGAATTTTATATGTATTTAATTCTAGATAAAAACAAACATTTTCTACATACAACTATAATCACAATACAATATAAACACTAATATTGAAAGTCTAAAACGCATTATTCAAACACCATTCAGACATCATTCCAAACTTTTACTCTTTTAGTCCCTTATTAACAACACAACATATTTACTAATCAAGTAACAACATCAAGTAATTACTTATCAAGTAAATGACTATATATTCGTACATTAAACTAAAAGAATGTACATAGCATTAATTGTTATAATATGAAAGTACACAATCAACAAACTACTCAAAAATTATACCAAACTCCCTAGAAAACCTAATAAAAAAGCATCTCACAAACAAATTTCACACCTAAACACCCATTTTTATCCATTCACAAAAGCATCTGAGACACTAATTACAAAGTTATGCATTGCACAAGTTCTATTGAAGCCATGGAAGTGTACATGTTTCCTTCTCTCCCTATTTAAGTTGAGATGAACCTTAGAACAAGTTGCTCTAAGATTCCATTTATTTGTTGCTCTACAGTAAGCATTGTTCAACATGTCCAATGCTTCCTGCTTCCTATGTCTCCCTTTAGCCATCAACATTATTCCCAGGACAAATGTTGAATTCAAATGTCCCAATGTGGACGCTTCTTCACACATCGTTTTCCCTTCATGTTCAGCTTCTACGAAACATAACTTCATCTGAAAAAAAAAACATTAAACACATAATTTATAGTTAAAATGATGTAAAACAAGAAGCAAGTTAATTAATACTATATATATATATATATATATATATATATATATATATATATATATATATATATATATATATATATAACAATGTACCAATCCATTGATGAACAAAATATTTGGGTTTCTCATCTCTATGCATTTGTTGACAACTCCATGTTTCTGGTCAGACCAACCACTGAATCGTAATCCATGTAACTCCATATGTTTATATACTTCAACCATTTTTCGTGCATCATTGAAGAATATGCAACTGCAAATGAAACACAATATTCGCTCCAGTAAGTAAGGACAGCTTAAATACACTTTTGAAATAGAATGACCGCAGGCAAACCTTACACACTCTTCATCCTGAAAGCCTCAACTGCTGAAAATTTTCCCAAGTCGACTATTATTTTCTCCATCACTTTCAGTAGCATGTTTGTTAGGGATTTCCTTTGTTTTCTTGAATGCATCTTTGAAGAAGTACTGGCTTCCATAATAATAAGCCTTCACTAAGATATCGATTCTGCGAAAATGATTTTAGGGTTTTTGAATGTCGGAATTTTGAAATTTGGGTGGTTTGCAAGTGACTGAAATAAGAGTGAAGAATTGAAACAACATGTTTCATCAGAAAACATTATGGCGCCTAAAAGATTTTCCATTATAAAATTACCAAATTGTCCTCATACATACAATGACTCATATTTAATTAGTAAGTGTGGTTTTGTCAAAAGTCATAATTAAAAGATAAGTCAATTTCTATATTAATACACAACCGGAAGAAATGATATATGTTGATCAATGACCCATATGTTATACATTATGACAACCCGTAAATTATTCCGTCAATGTAACCAGTTCCTGTTAATAAAACCATTAGTATTTCCAATTTTTCCGTTAAATTTTGGGTTAAGTTAATTAAATTGAGACCTTATTATCATCTCATGAGTGTCCAAACCCATTTGAAACGCGTGAAAATACCCCAAATTATTATTTGGAAAATTTTTAGTTTAGACCACGTCGGGTTGCAACAACTAAATCGGGTACGACTAAAAGCCCCGTTTAACATCAATATCGGGTAGATTTCCACCGAGCTTCAAAATCTAACCCTATACAAAGTTGAAAGAATTTCATTTGAACCTTTTTCACTCTCTCTCTCTCTCTACAAACTCAAACTTTGATCCAAAAATCACCCTTTAAAGCTCCAATTTGGTATGTAATCCATCCTAGCTGATAGTGTAACATGTTTAGCTTTCAAATTCATGTTTAAATCATGAAAAAGGACCAAGAACTTGTGTTTACAGCCCAAGAACAGCCCTAAGTTGCAAACACACGTAAATGGGGTTTTGGAGCCCGAAAACCCATCTAAACCACTTCTGGAGCTTAGATATGACTTATGGGCTTACATGAATGGACTTAGAACACCAAAATTTTAACATATGGGGAGTAAACATGAGTTTATGGCCCAAGAACATGCTTGGACCATAAACACCCATTCAAGGACCGTAAACACCTTTTAAGGTGTTAAGATGCCCCTTAAAGACCACCTAAGCCTTGGAACAATGTCTAGAATCAACCACCATTGTGTTAGGCATCATAAACATGAAAGAAACCACCCCCTTAGGAGATTAAATCCGGAAACCCCACAAGGAATGGTTTTTGGGCCGTAAACTCCTATAAAGTGGTCAAATGGTGCCCTAACATCCTTCCATGGCTTGTATTTTGCACTAGAACCACTTATGGTTAACCTAGGATCACCAAACCACATGGAGAAAGGGTGCATGAGATTTTACGGCCATAAACTCCTAGTATACAGCCGTAAACTCCTTAAAAAGGTCCATGTGTTGGTCAAATCACTTCCCTTGCCTTAGAACTAAACCTAGCATCATCCCACAAGTGTTGTATGACCACTAAGCAACGAAGAACACCCCACCCATGAGTTTACGGCCATAAAATCATGGGGATATGATCTTAGCGCCGTAATCTCCCTTAGGAGTTTATTCTTGAAGAGCAAAATCCATATCTAGGCCTTACACCCCCTTAGATGCTACCCGGATCACTCCTAAACACTTAAAATGAAGAGTTTTCGCGCCTAGGAGTGTACTATGTCAACTAATTAGTAGTTCAAAGTCTAATTAGATACAATTATGTATCTCCTCATTTTACATAGGAACCTCGCACGTGTTCAAGCCCTGAATTGACACTTAGCATCCTAGCCGACACATTTCTCGACCGGTGAGTTCATACCCCTACATTTTTTCTGCATTTTCCAATGTTTTCAGGGGGAATACAAGCAAATCATAAAGGTTTTTGAAACTTAAAACTGATATAACTATATGATTTCCTGATAAATTTTAAATACTCAATCCCTTTTGTAATATGCGGAGCATATGGGAGATTTTCGAAATGTAATTACATAGTTTTCGAAATAGAGAATAATTTGGGATCGACATTTATGGTTTCATGGATTAAAAAACTATGACTGATTTAGTTTAACCATGTTTAATCTATAGTATCTCCTTGAGTAATTATCACGTATTTGATTATTTATATTTTACCACTATTTCGAAACACGAGAACGATCTATTTTTCCTTGAATTGGTAATACTATCTTGTGAGATTCATCTTCATTATTCCCTACGGGGTATCGGTAAATCCTCTCCGGAAGTATAACCAGAGTCTCCAGGAGGGAGAGCGTGAAATTTGTGGATAGATCTCTTCGGGACCGACAATCCCACACCTTAATTGCTAGCTACAGTTACGCAGGCACGCCTGGTGTGACAAATTTTGGATTCTAGCGACGCTTTAAGAACGTCAAGGAAGTCACGGGTCAAATTAGTATGGTTATACAACTCACAATGCGTATTAAATTAACAAATTTTATTCACGGGTGTTTTCTCTTTTCTATAGTTTATAATTGAAACTAATGTACTTTCAAAGCTAATCAGGCTTTCAGAATAATTCACTTAAATGTTACAAGTAGGGTAGATACTTGTATACTTCATTTCGAATCGATAACAAACCACAAACTTTTAAGGAAAATAAGGGTTTTTCCTGGCATCATGAAACTGTTCTTAACCAGATTGTGTAACAAACGAATAACTCAACTATTCTTATATGTAAATATGCGATTTTATTGGATAACAACTTTTTCAAAAAACCAAAGGAAACTTGTTCTTTTACTAGAACAAACTGCTTATGAACTCAGCAGCTTGATGGTGATATTTTTAAAACTGCTTGTATTCTCAGGTCCACATTAGACAGGTATCTCGCGATCTTTTGGAGAAGATGGAGTATTTTTAGCAGTCTCGTCTTTGCTTTTGTTCATTTTGGATGTGTGTGTGTGTGTGTGTGTATATATATATATATATAATCATGTGTAATTTTACTTTAAAACAAATATAAATACTTCTATGTAATGTAATGGTTGTGTTTACTGTGCTTACTATGTACATTGGTTGTGATACTTTACATGACGTCCTCCACCCCGAAATGTTTCCGCCATCGGTTTCGGGGTGTGACAGATTGGTATCAGAGCCCTTGTTTATAGTGAACTAAGTATACCGAACCTTACATGGTATAAAAGTATAAACATTAAGGGGCAAAAGTGCTCTGAACTAAAAGTATACTTTAAAATATAAGTATTTTTCAAAAGTATACAAGAATACCTAAACATCAGATACCGTAACCTCGAGTAGAACAAAACATAAGTAATTGGTTGTTGTATGCTGCGATTAAACCTGGGCAGTTATGTAGTTGTGTCTAGGGTCAATATAGCCTGATCAATTATATTCATTCGAAACACAGCTAACATGTGCTTGGGAGTGACTGTGGTGTGCAGCATGCCTAAAACTTACCAAATATCCAAACAATGAGTCGTCGTCGCAACAAACCATAAAATACTCTAGGAGTATTTAGATAAGGCCAAATACGTTGTAGAGAAATTCGTTCCAAGTGTTGCTACTTATTCCTTCCTTAGAGATAATTCCCTTGTTCTAGTAGTTTTCCTATATATTATCACTTAGTAGAACAGTTTATCTATCATAATGAGATATCTCTTGTTCCATATCTCTTGATTCAATTCAGAGGACTTATGATCCTCTCTTTATTGGCTATTTTAGATCAAGATGCCTTTAAAGAAAAGACCCAGCTCAAAGAACAACAAACCTCCTCCACCACCACCTCCCCCTCCATTTGATCCTGCTATGTTTCAAGCAGCTGTTAATGCTGCTGTGGCTGCTACCATATCACAAATGAACCCCAGTGGTTCAGGCGGGCTAGGAGGTGGTACTCAGCCTCAAAACCAGGAAGGTAGTCAGGGACACCTGAAGGAGTGTTCCTACAAGGACTTTATGAACGCGAAACCCACACCCTTCAATGGTATTGAGGGTGTCATTTCCCTAACTCGGTGGTTCGAGAAAATCGAATCTATCTTCGAAATCTATGCATGTTCAGAATCCGACGAAGTGAAGTTCGCCGCCTGCACGTTCACCGACAAAGCCCTGACTTGGTGGAACGATCGAGTCAAATCCTTAACCCTATCTGTAGCCAATGCTATGGGTTAGTAGATCATGAAGGAGCTTCTGCTTGCGGAGTACTGCCCCCGGGGCGAAATGCAGAAGCTAGAGCATGAACTCTAGAACCTAAAGATGAAGGGTTCCGATATTCCTGCTTATACCTACAGATTTGAGGACTTAGCGCTTCTTTGTCCGGGAATGGTTACCCCGGAAAGTAAAAAGGTGGAAAGATTCATCTGGGGGCTGACCCAGCCAACGAAGGGAAACGTTTTGGCTGCGAAGCCAAACAAATTCGATAGTTCCAAATCCCTAGTGCAAACTTTGATTGATCATAGTGATGATCCCGAAGAGGTGACCACCGCTCTCGAACCGGCTAAAGGGAGTGGTGAAAATAAAAAGAAATTTTGGAAAAAACAGAAGGGTCAGGATTCGTAGGGATCCTCAAAGAAACAACAAACAGTAGCAGTTCACAGTCAGGATTCGCAGGGATCCTCAAAGAAACAGCAAACAGTAGCAGGTCACGCTGCTACAACCCCGACCGTAGCTCCTACAACTCAAACTCCTACCAGTGGATACACTGGTACCCTCCCCTGGTGTGGCAAATGCAGTTATCACCATCTTATTCCCATGCCTTGTCGTGAAAAGCTTTGCAACAACTGTGGTAAGAAAGGCCACATTGCTCGAAATTGTAGGAACCCTGCTCAGTCAACCATTGAAGCTTCCGGAACAGGTGTTGGTCAGGCTTGCTACGGTTGTGGTGAGGTCAGGTATTTCAAGATAAACTGCCCCAAGGCAGCGACAACTAGCAACAACGTGAGAGTCCTAGCTATGGGATGAGATGAGGCAGTTGCCGATCCCACCGTTGTCTCGGGTACGTTCCTCCTCGACAACTCTTATGCTAGTATCCTTTTCGATTCTGGTGTTGAAAGAAGTTTTTTTTAGCCATACATTCAAACATCTTCTTAAACCTAACCCCCAAC